TTAAAAAAAATACACAAATGAAAACTTTTAAATACATAATTTGATACTAATATTGATATATTTTTTTGCAAATTTTATATGATATTTTCAAATTTATATTTTATTTAAAAATAAAAACATTATCGCTTTCTTAAAACCACATAAAATCGTATTACATCGACATGGATAAAAACTAAAACTAAACATTGAAATGAAAATATGTCCCGATGCATTGCACGAGTACCCTTCTAGCATAATATATGTATCATTAAAATACTTTAAAACAATCGGAACTTTTAGTAGAAAAATTAATTTCTACTTTTAGAAATCATTTAAGAGTAACTTACATTCGTGGTCCTTATGGTTTACTTAAAATTCGGTTTGTAAAGAATTATTGTCCCTCACATGCATCATCTACATCATTGGTCACTAACTTCTGTTTATAACATTGGTGGTCCCTCGAGTTAGCATCTTAAATCTCTGGTCGTTAGACCCTTCATGTGCCCCACATTCTGTGTTCTTACTTGTAACACCCTTTAACTTTAAGCCCTCGTTTCGTGTCATTTGTAACCCGTTACGTGGATTGCTCATTAATAATATCAAGTGTTATGCGATATTTTACTTCTATGAGTTTAGGGATAAACAAATGGGATTTCGTATGAAAAGATGGTGGATGCGAGGTTTAACGGACCATAAATTTCTCAAGTGGTATAACTGCCATAGGGGTTGTGTAAACAGTTTTGATCCCTTGATGAAGGGTTCTGAATAAGAATAATACGTCTGATACGCGGTTAACAATACCGATGACATATACATATATTGGAACTGCATATACATGTACACAATATCATGAATTTAGCTTCAAATATATATATATATATATATATATATATATATATATATATATGGTGGTTTTTATACGTTTTTATATTAAAACCTATTATCGTTTGACTTAAATGCTTTAAAAATAAAATTTATCGTAGGTTAAGACTAGGAATAGTAATGCGCCGGATCTTGTCCCTGAAACCGATAATCAAAACCGTCTCTGTACCGCTCCGATCCCTGTCGGGGATCTTACAGAGAATCCCCATCGGGGACCCACGTTTTCCTCGATCCCTTTTGGGGAACCCCTTAAGAGTAAAAATCTCTGTTCATCGTTGATTATATACTCAAACTCGAAACCAAAAGCGACATGAAAAATTTTCACAATAAAAATAAAATTACAATTTCTTCAAATAGAAATTCAAATATCAACCAACTAACATCACGATTACACGATCAGACAGATAGAGTAGATTTTTTTCACGAGGCTTATTTAGAGTGTCGAGGTAAAGTGGATAAAAGTCGTTTAAAATTTAATCTTAGTATTTTTCTTTTAATGATATAATATACATATAATATTTAAATTAATATATATACACACATACACATACCGGATAGGGACAAGCCTGTGATCACCAACCCCACCCCAATCTTTGATAAAATCCCCAAATATATCCTCGATCCCCACTGTTTCTGATAAAAAGTCCTAAACCTAACCCAAAAATTTTCGTTTTCGGGTTTCACCATTGATTTCGTATTATTTTTTGCCCTAAAATGGAGCAATCTTTTAATAAGTTAGTTTGAAACAAACACCAACATTTAATATCACTAGAAGGGTACTCGCACAATGTAACGAGATATATCTCGATTTTAATATTCCGTTTTTTGTCTTGGTCGATGTTATAATACGGTTTTATGTGGTTTTAAGAAAACGATAATGTTTTTATTTTTGAATAAAATATAAATATGAAAATATCATAAAATTTTGAAAAAATATATATTGATATTAGTAACAAACTAACAATTTAAAATTTCTCTTTTATGCAATTTCTTTAATTTTTTTCTTTTATTTTTTATTTAATAATATAATTTTTTATAAATATAATAATTAAGTATTTTGTTATAACTCAATGATTATTCTAACTATATTTTAAATTTTTTATATTTAAAATGATATGTTTATTCTCTATTTGATTATGTTTATCTGTAGTTAGTTACACGAATCCATACATAGAGCTTTAATAAATTGTACTTATGCACAATTTACATGTAATCTTAAATTTTAAGTAATATGCATCAATAAACAGTACTTAATACATGCATAAAAAAATAATTTTTAAGAATTTTTATCAAATGCTTTATAATATAGTATAGATTATTTTGTTCATTATTAATCATCTTGATACCTTTAATTCTAAATTAAAGATTTTCTTAATATTTATTTTACGTGTTTTAAATTCTCTTTTCGTGGTCTCGGAGGCTAACCCCCATACCTAACTCCTAAGCTTTAATGGTTGATAGGTACGCTAAAAATTGATTGTAACTTAAATTCATTTTTACTCCGTTTTAATGTTTAAAACCTGTTATTGATGCTGAAAGATCAATGACTATGTCTACTCAAGAAACGAGGATCGAGTTGGAACCATGGCGGGACTTGAGGGGCACGATCGTAATGGTTACCGGGGCATCTTCTGGTATCGGTTGGGAATTTTGTATCGACTTAGCAAAAGCCGGTTGCAAGATAATTGCTGCCGCTCGTCGAACCGAACGTCTTCGAATTCTGTGCGATAAAATTAACAAATTGGATGTATCTGATGGTCGAGTAAACCAAAGTCAAGCCAAGAATAATGACGTCATAGCGGTAGCGGTGGAGCTTGATGTCAGTGCCGATGGTCCTACCATTGAAGCTTCAGTGAGAAACGCCTGGGAAGCTTTTGGCCGAATTGATGCTTTAATCAACAATGCTGGTTTTAGAGGTAATTTTAGAATGTTTGTTTCCTAATCTTTTATTTATTTCTCAAACTTACTCAATTTTTATTTTTATTTTTATTTTTATTTTTATTTTCTTATAAAATTAAAAATTGTAATGGATTCCCAATTTTTTTTTTATGATATTACATTACAAAATTATGATTAAAACGAAATATATTTTAGAGAAAACTTCAACTATGGCCGTTTCAAAATTATGAAAATACAATCTGAATTTTGATAAGTCTAGAAATTATTTTTATGGTTTTTATTTTAACGAAAAGACTGAAATGTCCATCGTTCTAATGAAGAACACAAGCATAGTTAACGACTAATGACCACTTTGAGAGTAAAGTTCACTTTTGATCTCTAACTTAACGTTTGTCCGTTTCAACGTTTTTGTTCCTCGACTTTATTTTAATATATTTGTCCCTCACGTTTGGCACCTAGCAACAATTTTCGTTCCTCCTCCTAACGTCCGTTAACTTACCCGGTAAGCGTTTACCGGTAAATTTAAAACTATCATTTATTTACTGGGTAAGATTTTAGTCCACCAAAACAGTATCGTGCGCAACAATTTACCTGGTAAGCGCTTACCATGGTATAAGTCGTCGTCCTCACTTACCGGATAAGACTCTTGGTCTTTGTCTCGCTTTTACCGGGTAAGATTTTTTGTCCTTACCATATTCATCCGGTAAAATAATGTAACATGATGTTCACTTACCTAAGTAAGCGTTTGGTAAACAACCCCTAAATAAAGTTTTGACTAAAAACAGGTGTATAAATTGGAAATATTATAATATTAGTCTATTCACATAAAAAAGGTATATTTAAAATACAAAAAATGGTTGTTAAAATTATACAAATATATGTCAATTTTTACTCATAAATACATATCAATATTTAAAATAAATTAAAAAAAAACTAAATAGTTATCTACAAAAATGTAAATACAATAATATGATAACAAAAGTAGAAAATGGCAGAGGAAATGTAAATTGATTAATGATAAATGTAATGATAAAAAATGAAAGAGTAAAAATATAACCAATGATATAAGATATTTTTTAACAGATAAAAGTAAAGAGGTGTGCATATTAATAACACCCTTTTTAATTCATTTAAGTTCTTGTTATATTAATTTAAGTTTGTGCTTTTCCTCCTCCATTATTCATCTTTTAAGTTCCATGCATTAAAGAGTAATACATAGGTTCATATATAAAGTTAAATATTTTATGAGAAGATGAATAAAGACGCTTAATCATATATGATTGAACACACCTAAAGAAATATAATCATATATGATATTGAAACGTTTTGCCTTCTTGCATGAAATTTCCCCACCCTCTCTCTCTCTCTCTCTCTCTATCTATATATATATATATATATATATATATATATATATATATATATGGGAAGGGTTCAAACGAGAACCTCTGTGATTTACGAGAACGCAAGAACAATCCAATAACCTCATATTGTGATTAAAAATAAAATTAAAAGATTTTTAAAATTTAAATTTAAATTTAAAAAGATTCAAAAAAAATTAAAATTAAAAGGGTAATAATGGAAATGATATCATCAAATCTTTTAAACACGATCATTATCTTTTAAACACTCATTATTATCATTAGTCTTATCATTATCTAGTAAAACGGTTACGAAATAGGTTAAGATTATACTAGGTGTGATAATCATGTGATATGGGTGTGATAATCATGTGATAGGGGTGTGATAATCACCATTATACTTCACTTGGGTTATCGTTTTGGTTAATAAGTTAAAATTTTGGTGTAATCATATGATAGGGGTGTGATAATCATGTGATATGAGTGTGATAATCACCATTATACATCATTTGGGCTAACGTTTTGGTTGATAAGTTAAAATTTTGGTGTCATCATGTGATTTGGGTGTGATAATCATGTGATAAGGGTGTGATAATCATGTGATAAGGGTGTGATAATCACTGTTATACATCACTTGGGTTATCGTTTTGGTTGATAAGTTCAAATTTTGGTGTAATCATATAATATGGGTGTGATAATCATATGATATGAGTGTGATACTTATGTGATAGAGGTGTGATATGAAGAAAAAATGTTAACGAGAAGAAGAAGAAGAAGATAACTACCAAGAGTAAAACGTGAAACGTGAAAAGATAATTATGGTTAATTAAAATAAAATAAAAATTATAAAAATTACTTAATTACATTATTGTCCTTATTAAATTATTTATATATAATAAAAGTTAATTTATTAATTAAAAAAGTTTWAGGTTATTGGGTTGTTCTCGCGTTCTCGTAAATCACAGGGGTTCTCGTTTGAACCTCCACCATATATATATATATATATATATATGCATCTTTGTGAGTAAATTTCAAAAATCATCTGTGTAGTGGCGGATGCATGTGATAGGGGTTGGGGTCCTGGGCCCCAACGAAATCAAGTTTACAAAGCTTTTTTTTACTTATAATTTTTATGTTTATCTAATCAAGACCCAATAAAATAAACATGAAGGCCTCTTACTCTAGTCCAGTCCATTGGCTTTTTCCACATTTTGTAGTCAAATGGAAATGTTAGGCTAGGCAAATGGAAAAAGTAGTTTGTGACCTCAATTCTACCTAAAAATCCATCCTGCTGAAATGCCATTTTATACTTGAAATTGAAATTAGCATGAGTAGAACCTTTTAATTAAAATTATGATTGAAATATAACCACTTTCTACAGAATATCGACACCAATTGTGGCAATGGATAATTGGATATGGTTTAACAACGGGCAACTAGTTATTTATCTTCTTGAACTTGGACAAGGAAACTAAGGGCCGTTTTAACAAAAATTTACCCGGTAAGTGCTTTTCGGTAAAAATTCAACACTATTATTTACTTACTAGGTAAGATTTTAGTCCACCGAAACGGTATCATATGCAACAGTTTACACGATAAGCTCTTATCGTGGTAAGAGTCGTTGTCCTCACTTACCGGGTAAGACTCTTTGTCCTTGTCTTGGTAAGCGCTTACTCGGGTAAGCGTTTGGTAAACAGCCCCTAAGCATCGCTTATCAAGGATAAAGTAGAAAGAAACAAATCCACTAAATAATTTGTCTACAAAATTATATCATGCCTCCTACAATAATTTTTTTCTGCATCCGCTATTAAAATAGAGAAACTGTTGGATTTAAATGCAATTTCTTGGAAATTCTGACTATTCTTTTTCAGTTTTTTGAGAATTTATAAAGGAACTGTTAGAAATTTTTTTTAAATCTTTAGAAAGACCTAGACAAATTTTACACATTTGAGGATTGGATTTAGAATCATGAAATGGTTTGATGACCGTACCCTTTATGTTTTTATAACACGGTAAACTTGGATTGAAGTTTTTATATGTTGTATTTTGCATTTAGGTCCTATACGAGGTTCACTGGATTTGTCAGAAGAAGATTGGGATCGAACCTTTAGTACAAACATAAGAGGATCCTGGTTGGTTTCAAAGTATGTTTGCCTACAAATGCTTGCTCTCAATCAAGGAGGATCCATAATTAATATCTCCTCTACTGCTGGCGTCGGTCGTGTTTTTCCACCTGCTGTTGCATATGCTTCTTCAAAATCGGCCCTTGATACCATGACAAAGGTAATGCAAACAAATCCTCATCCCGAACTTTACCATGATCATGTATTTTTCGTTCTTGATGATTGAATCTTAAATTCGTTAATATGATCAATATGCATGTGATTGATCTTAAGTTTATTCGTTCACTTGCTCAATACAGGTAATGGCAATGGAACTTGGAAAACATAAAATAAGGGTGAACTCAATAGCTCCAGGGATTTTTCAATCTGAGATTACGAATGAACTCTTGGAGAAGAAATGGTTTGAGAAAGTGGTTTCAAGAACGGTGCCACTAAGAGATCTAGGCACTACTGATCCAGCTATGACATCGTTGGTGAAATACCTAATACATGACTCGTCCAACTATTTGACAGGTAATGTTTTCATTGTAGATGCAGGGTACACCTTAGCTGGCGTACCCCTTTTTTCGTCACTTTGAACTTACTGATGGTCAAAGTTAAATGGTCGTACCAGTATTGATACATCGTTGAGAAGGGTATTCTAAAACTGCATTAGTCAAATCAAAATAAAGAGAAGATGTAAAACAATAAAGAAATGATCAATGCAGATGTCATTTATGTTGATTGTTTTCTTTCAAGATTGTCATGGGTTTTGATCTGTGGGAGTTTTCAAGGGCAAAAGTAACCAAATTCAGAACATTTTGACGTTTTTCAACAAATTCATTTACGGTATCGTTCACAGTCATACAACACATCATATGTCATCGTAATATAATCGTACACAGTCATACAAACATCATATGTCATCATAATATAATCGTACATACCCAAAAAAAAAATACGAGAATATTGTCATACAAATGACCTAGATTTCATTTCTTTTATCCCAAACCAAAAACGCCCATACTTTTCAAAAACTCTTTCTAAAAAAAGCATAAAATATATAAACAAATAACACGTTATTTCAAAAACGAAACTACGCGAACATCTAATGATCATGTCATGTAGATTCATATACATTAATTTAGTGTTTTGTAAGGGGCTCTTAAACCGTTGTTGGTTACAGAATCAATACACACAATAAAGGAAAATCCATACGAAACATGGTAGATTGAAGGTTTCGAAATTTACTTTGGAAGAAAGCCGAAACCTTTGGAGAAGTTTCATTTAAGAAATGGTAAGTATTTGAGAAGTAAACAAGTGACTTGTTTGGATTTAATCTCTGTCATATGTTTTTTATTTAGGCCATATCATCATAATGATATGTCATCCATATCATCTAAATTAGTCAAAGAAACAAAAAAAAAAGGTAAGAAGTATCCATTGTTATAATAGATAGATTTTTCAAAATATAATGCTTATATAAAAAATAATTTGAAAATATATTGTTGTAATAAAGAAAAATCAAAATACATTATTATAATAAAATATTTATAAAAATTGGTAATTGTTTCATGCATTTAACATTTTTATGTAGGGAAAATTGCACCAAAATGGAACCAACTTTCACCTGATTCCTATTTTGGAGAACCAACTTTCAAAATCGTCATTTTGGGGAACCAACTTTCACTTGATTGTTATTTTGGGGAACCAACTTTCACCTGATTCTTATTTTGGGGAACCAACTTTCAAAATTTTCATTTTGGGGAACCAACTTGGACCTGATTCCTATTTTGGGGAACCAACTTTCAAAATCGTCATTTTGGGGAACCAACTTTCAAAATCGTCATTTTCGGGAACCAACTTGCATCTGATTCCTATTTTGGGAAACCAACTTGCAAAATAATTATAGAAAAATAACTAAAATTCATTTCTTTTCAAAAATTAATGCAATAAAATCTATTTTTCATTTTAAATCTCGTTTTTTTAATTCAGATATCAAATTGAAGATTTTTCGAAAAAAATCCAAATTACCACGATAAAAATTRTTTTTTACTAATGCAATAAAAAATCAATTTAATAGAAAAAAATTAATTGATGCAATAAAAAATAAATATTAAATATCACATTCAAGATTTTTATATCTAACCAATCTGTGTYAATATTAAAGTTTAAATCAAATTTGGTAAATCCAACCAAAATTTTGATAGAGACTCTTAAATTATCTGTTGTTGATCAATCAGACCTTAAATAAACAAAAAGTTCGATAGAGACCCCTAAATGACGATTTTAAAAGTTGGTTCCCCAAAATAGGAATCAGGTGAAAGTTGGTTCYATTTTGGTGTAATTTTCCCATTTTTCTATAATTATTTTGCAAGTTAGTTCCCCAAAATAGGAATTAGGTGCAAGTTGGTTCCCCAAAATGACGATTTTGAAAGTTGGTTCCCCAAAATAGGAATCAGGTCCAAGTTGGTTCCCCAAAATGACGATTTTGAAAGTTGGTTCCCCAAAATAAAAATCAGGTGAAAGTTGGTTCCCCAAAATGACGATTTTGAAAGTTTGTTCCCCAAATTAAGAATCATGTAAAAGTTGGTTCCATTTTGGTGCAATTTTCCCTTTTATGTATGTTTATTTTGATTTATGATTTAATATTTTATAATAATCTATTTAAACATACATCAAAATATACCATTGATTTAATTCATATATACATTCTTCCTTTCAAAATAAAATATAAGAAGTTGCCATGAAAACTGAAGGCGGTGGAGACTCACCGTAAAACCCTCGCCGCCCCAAAATCACCATTTTCGCGAAGCGGGGATGAGCGTTAATCGATTGCCGCTCGAAGATGAAGACCAACAACCATCACCATCAATCCAGTCGGAAACCTACATGGTGGGTTTCATTATCGCCAACATTGTCGGATTACAATACTATTCCGGCCGTGTAAGTGGCAGGGAGATGGTCGGTCTTGTTCGAGAACCCTTGAATGGCTTCGACCCTAACGCAATCAGAGTCGTCAATACTCGAGCAATCCAAGTCGGCCATATCGAGAAGAAGGTAGCTAGTGTTCTTGCACCATTAATCGACTCTAATTTGGTTCATGTTGAAGGGATTGTACCCAATACCCCTAAAAATAGTGTTCGGTATAAGCTCCCATGCCATATTCATATTTTTGCAAAGATYGAAGCCTTCGAAACCGTCAAAYYCTCAYTTTCACWATGTGGGTTGTATTTGATTTCACAAAGTGATTCTCTGTTTAGTACTTCTGAATCTATGGTCGTGAAAGAGAAGAAAAAGAGTGATGTAGATGAAGTTTTCAAGTTGGTTGATGAGAATGTAAGTAAAAGTACGGTTACGGGGACAATGGAACCCCCAAAAGATGTCATTTTACCTGATCTTTTTCTGCATCAAAAAGAGGGTTTGAGTTGGTTGCATCACCGTGAGAATTCCGATGAATTACCTCCGTTTTGGGAAGAAAGAGACGATGGTTTCATCAACGCTTTGACGAATTATCAAACCGACAAACGGCCGGAGCCTTTACGCGGTGGGATCTTTGCGGACGATATGGGATTGGGTAAAACTCTCACTTTACTTTCTTTGATTGCTTTGGATAAATGTAAGATTTCGAACGATGGAACAAGTGAACTAATGGGAATAGAAGATGATCAATCGGTTGTCCAAATTGGTAAGAAATCAAGAACCAGAACTGTTAATTGTAGCAAGAAACAGAAAACAGATGACACCCTTTTGGATGAAAGAAAAAAGAAAGAACGAATAGGCACGAAAATGACATTAATTGTGTGCCCACCTTCTGTTTTCTCAACTTGGATAACACAATTAACCGATCACACCAAAAGGGGGCGGCTAAAAGCATATATGTACTATGGGGAACGAACTCAAGATGTATCCGAGCTTCAAAACTACGATATAATCTTGACAACTTATAGTACTCTAGCTAGTGAACTTAACAATTCAAATGCTCCAATAAAGAAGATAGAGTGGTGGCG